AAAGAACAAATAAACAAGATCCCACACTTTATGAAACTTATCTACATGTTGATCCAAACACGATTTTTGCTAACAGGAAATCAAATCAAACTACTATACTAGGACTAAGACCAAATAAGTAAACAAGTACCTAGATAAATATGCCAAGAGTAAAAAATAGACATGCTAAGACCCTGCACTATACTGAAACAGCAGGAATGTACAAAATAAAGAACAAAACGAAAATCAGACATGGGAAAAAGAATGCTACCGAGTCAAGTTGAAATGTGTCATTTTCGGCTGAAAATTAGATTGTCCGGAGACAAAACTTGGTTTAAACACATTACATTACGTAGTAAGACAACAGAGACATTCAAAAGATAGGTAAAACTAAACGATTAGAACAAGCATGCGACTGTATCATATATATCAACCACATAAATCGACCCTTTAAAAACCTAATCTACAAAAGAGCAACCTTAAACAATGATGACCCTAAATATAGCATAATTGATGCTTAACACGACATGGACGAAATAATACAAATTTAATAACACTCAAGAACTAGTTTCAAGAAAGGGAACATCAAAATGCATACGAGCAAAGAAAGACAGAAACGACCATACTAGATAGAATTTCGTAGAACCTTAAAACAATATTACGACTAAACCATGAAAGCGATTAAGAACACGTACTTCATGTCAAAACAACATCAATCCAACAATAACTAATTAGCGAACAACCAACATAATAGTGATTTTCCAACATCAACAGAAACAAATATCAAAAGAGATGAAGAGAAAGTTATCGGAGTAAATGATTACCTTTTCCGGGCAACGAATGGGGACGAGAAACTTGAGCAGAGGAACGTAACTTCTACCACGAAACTTGACCACGAACAGCGAAACAAAGAACCTGGACAGAATACAAGCAACTACCTCGAATTCCAAATGAACGTGTGAGAGAGAAATGGACGACACCAAAGGACACGAAACTAAAATCCTGAATGAGTTTACTCCTCTATTCGGGAGTGTGTTACTACTTTTTCTTAATCCTTTTCTCTGTATTTCCTCTCAAATTTTTCCCACCTCTAACAGTGAATAAGAAGGGGGTTTATATAGATGGGAAAAATTGGGGTTCATTTTTGGGAGGAAAAGGGTGAGAAATCGGATGAGAACAAGGATGAAATAGGAAATTTCATTCCATTCCCAAATTCAAAAATTTTCTAAGGACGAGAAAAGGTTGTTCTTGGTGCGAGATTTTCCCCAAAATCCCAGGAAATTCAGAGGAGGGGGGTAGCGCGGACGACTTAGATTGATTCCCTCTTCCTTGTGCTTGACGTGGCGCCATCTTGTAGCCACAAGAACGATTGGACGCGGCTAGTAGGGCTGGAACGAGTTGGTGAGGGTAGACGCGGTTGCTTCTATCCGTGGATTCCGTCGTTTGATTGTTGTGTATTGTTGTTGATTTTGACGTGTATCGCTGTCGACGTTTCTAGGTTTTACAGCGCATTCACACGTTAGTGAAGAAGAAAGAGGACGCAGGTGGGGTCGTTTGGTACTGTGGCTGTTGTTGTCGGTTGTATGTATTGTTGGGTCTCTTTGTTAAAGAAGGGGATTGGGCCGGGTTAAGGAGTATCAAAAGTGGGCTGGTTTATGTATTAATTGAGAATGTTGTGTGGGCTGGAAATGCTGAAAATTATTTTGGAAGGCTGAAGTTGAGTGGAAATTGGACTAAAAAATGGCCCAACTTTGGTCTTAAACAAGGATCAAGTATTGAGATAAGAGATAGCTAGATTTGCAATTGCGAAAATGGCCATTGGATTACAATTATAGCCAAACAGAATTCGAAACATAGCCAAGTTGAGATTATTAAGACTCGAATAAGACGAACTAATATTAATTAATTAATTAATTTATGAGTTTTTTAATCTTAATGAAATAAAATAATTAACTTAATTATAAACTAATCGATTTTCATATAAACTAATTAATTCAAAATTAAAACTATAATTCAAACTAAAACTAAATTAATAAAATATTTATTTTAACGAATAGAAATCTTTTGATATGATTTTTAAACATTTATCAAATATACTAGTTACTTATATAATTATGTGAAATACATTTATTATTCAAAATACTACAAAAATCAGCTAACATTATTTAAACCAACCTTGAAACTATTTGAATTTTATAAAGCTAATTATTCTAAAACGTTTGAAAATTAAGAAGCTTAGAAATTAATTATTATCGGGGAGGGTCAAAATTGGGTGTCAACAACTGTCCCTCGTTTTACTCGAATTGATGCAAGAAATTCGAGGAAAATGAAATTGACCAATCCAATTTTGACCGACCACATTTTCATATTTTCTAAAAAGGGATTTTGGCACGGACTTTAGGAGGTATGGCCGAACCTCGAAAATGGGTTTCCTACATATCTCAGGCTATATGAGAATTTAGGCCACTTGTAGTTCGGCAAGCTTGATTTGATGCACGGTTTTGAAAGAATTCAAAAGTCATCCCGATACCAAATTATGAAGAGACCGGAATGCTCGAGAATAAAATTTAAGAGAGAATGTTGCAATACAGTCGAGTTTTCAACCCTGAACCCGCCTATATATCCTTCAACTTAGGGAATCAGGTTGTTTTGTAGTTTGACTCGATTGGTGGAAAAGGGAATCTCTTATTTTAAGATACCCTTTGGTTTTGGAAAAAGTGACAAAGTAAGTCGAGTATGAAAAGGAGGCTTGCAACCTCTTAGCCATGAATGTGGCGCTTCACACCCACAATTAAGAACTTACACTGACATTATTTCCAACACTCTTAGAGCATTGTCACTCCGATTGGAAAGTTGCTTCCGGTGACCCAAAATTTTTCGGATGCGAAAATGGAACCGATAAACCTAAGAAAACCCATATGTCTTCTGATAGGGGTGTGATTTGATTGTGGTGGAAGTCACTCCTCAGCTCGCGTCCTAAGACTTTGGCATTCCTCTTTGGACTATGTCCCGATTCGCTGCTAAGAAAAAATTTCACGTTGTGCTGCATCCTTTTGATGTCGTCCGCATCTGTGGTTTGTTTTGAGAATTCATCCTTTCGGATGCTCTCGACAAAGACTGAGATAAAACTCATTAGCATAAAAAATACAATTCGAATGGGAGACGGTGTCTTTTATCGTGTTGACACTTAATTGCTTTCATTGAACATTTGACGTCAACCCCATCGGGTTTGACGTAAAGCAAATAAAGCTTGTGTCTAATATTTGCAATATAATCTTACTCTTCCTTTGGTGTCAAAGTAATAAAATAGGCTGATGTAGTTTGTTGACGGTTCTCTTAATGTCGTTTTTGTTAAGAAAAATGATGCAGTCAATGTTGATCTTCTTGTGTCGGGTGAATCTTTCTCTCGCGATGCATAATTTCTTCTCTTGCGATGCATGGCTCCTTTCTCTTGCGATGCATGACTTTTTCTCTTGCAATGTATGACTCTTTTCTCTTGCAATGCATGACTCCTTCTATTGTGATGCATGACTCCTTTCTCTTGCGATGCATGACTCTTTTCTCTTGCAATGCATGACTTTTTTTTTTGTGACGCATGACTCCTTTCCCGAGATGCATAAATCTCTTTCCCGCGACACATGAATCTTCTCTTGCAATGCATGAATCTCTTCTCGAGATGCATGAATCTTCTTTTCTGATGATGCCATCCCGGGTACCGAACGAATATAATGTTTTACCGGACAATATATGTGATCTTCTGGGTGGCGGTATCGTCTCAATTGACAATATAATAAAAATAATCCTTGGAGTAGTGGTATCATCTCATTTGACAATACAATATAAATGACCCTCCGGGTAGTAGTATCATCTCATTCAACAATACGATATAAATGACTCTCCAGATAGTGATATCATCTCATTCGACAATACAATATAAATAACCTTCAGGGTAAGAAATATTATCATATTTGATAATATAATGCAGATAAACATCTTCCAGCTATCTTTAGTTGCTGAAAAATAAAAATATTGCTCTCTTCGTGGTGTTTGTTTGTTCCATCTCCGAACATAGTTGCAATGTTCATTACGAACCTCGATTTGCTAAGAATTTGAATGAAATAATGCTACTCATATTCTCAATTCTTTGGTATAAGAAGCACAAAACTTTTTCAACATCCACAGAAAAATTGTTAGTTTAAAGTGAACTGATTTGTGTCGATCTCTTCGGTTGCCTGCTCCTTGTCTTTCTATCTCCGATCTCCCGCCTCTTGATAGTTAAGACAAACTATTTTTATGCGAAAATAATTGATACATGGAGGAAAAGTTTTAAGAAAAATAGATTTTTCAAAAAGTAGACTTTGGAAAAGGTCACTGCCAAGCGTCATGTCACGTTAGGCTTAATGAACGCCTTTGAAGTTGATGTCTCGAGGTCTATTTGATTACTTGTTGGAAAGTATTCAAAGTTGCTCTAAACTGCTGATAAACCTTGTTGAAATTTTTGAGATCATTTTCAAAAATTTCTGTCCCGGTTACCTGTCTTGGCATATTTTGAACCGTTGGTTAGCAAATCACTAAATTTTTGAGCTGTCCCAGTTTCAAATCTCAAGTAACTTCGATCTCGACTTTGTTGGGAGATCCTCTCAAAAATTCTGTCCCAGTTTCTATTGCAATGAAAAATAGAAATTTTATGAGAGATACGACCGAGTCGTTATGACGCCTACGTATCCCGTTGAGGCAAGAATCAAGTCAAACGTAGTTCCCCTTCTCGAGGATTAACAAAATAAGAAATTTACAAAGGAACCGACCGAGGCCAACATAGGCCGCCTACGTAGTTCAGATATAAGGAAAAATATTAAAAGATGATAAAGGGGTGCCCGAAGCCGACATAGGCTGCCTACATATCTCATTTTTGAGAATTCAGGTCAGACGTAGTTCATTACAAGAGGGATAAAATTTAAGATAAAACGGTTATAAGCAAATAGAACGATTACAAGGAAATGACAGAAATATAAAGTGAAACTTCACACATAGTATCTCTTGACAGCATCTGAGTTGATCGGTTTTGGCCATTCGGTGCCATCCATCTCTGACAGGACCAAGGCACCTCCAGACAACACTTTGCGAACCATATAGGGTCCTTGCCAATTTGGTGCAAATTTCCCTTTGTACTCATTATGATGAGGGAAAATGTGTTTGATGATCAACTGACCAATTTCAAATATCCTCGCTCTTACTTTCTTGTGGAAAGAACGAATCATTCTATGTAGATACAGTTGACCATGACAAACATCGACCATTCTCTTCTCATCAATCAATGTTAACTGATCAATCCACTTGCGAACCCAATCAGCATCACTCAATTCAGCTTCTTGGTTTATTCTCAATGAAGGTACCTCAACTTCGGCAGGTATAACTGCTTGTGTTCCATATACTAACAAGTATGGAATTGCTCTAATCGATGTCCTGACAGTCGTTCTGTAACCCAACAAAGCATATGGCAACATCTCGTGCCAACCTCAGTGATTGTCAATCATTTTCCTCAAAATCTTCTTGATGTTCTTGTTGGCGGCTTCTACTACTCCATTCATTTGGGACGGTAGGCGGTTGAGTTCCGGTGAGTAATCTTCAATTGTTCACATATCTCTCTCATTAAGTGACTGTTGAGATTTGCTCCATTATTAATAATGATGGATTCCGGTATTCCGAACCTACATAACAAATTGTTGCGAACAAAATCAACTACAACTTTCTTGGTTACCAATTTGTACGAAGCTACTTCCACCCACTTGGTTAAATAGTCAATGGAAACTAAAATGAATCTGTGTCCATTAGAGGCGGATGACTCTATTGGACCAATGACATCCATGCCCCAAGCTACAAATGGCCAAGGTGAACTCATATCATTGAGTTCGTGGGGCAGCACTCGCATCAAATCACCATGCACCTGACATTTATGATATTTCTTCACAAACTTGCAACAATCATATTCCATAGTCATCCAAAAATAGTCGGCTCGAAGGATCTTTCTTGCCAAAGTGACCCCATTCATATGAGTACCGCAGACTCCAGCATGTATCTGTTCAAGAAGCTTTGCAACTTCACTAGCATCAACGCATCTGAGAAGGCCTAAATCTGGAGTCCACCTATAAAAGATTTCCCCACTCGGAAAGAAATTGAGGGTCATACGGCGTATCAACTTCTTCTAATTGAACGTTGCATTCTTGTGATAAATTCCGGTCTCCAAGTACTTCTTGATGTCAAAATACCAAGGTAAACCATCTGGTTCCGCTTCAACATGTAATCTAGATGTGATGCACATTGAAAAAAATTACTTTGACAATTTGTTTAACATAGTGATGGATGTTAAGGGTAAGACAAAAGACAATCCAAAAGCTAGAATGGACATAAAAGAATATTGTAGGAGAAAAGAGTTATGGCTGCAGGAATTACAAAATGGTAAAATAGTTAATTCCAAAGCCAGCTTTTCATTCACATTGTATGAGAAACGTGAAATTATTGAGTGGGTTAAAAATTTGAGAATGTCAGAGGGCTATGCTACGAATTTAAGAAACTGGGCAGATATAAATGAAGGAAAATTGATAGGTATGAAAAGTCATGATTGTCATGTGTTCATGAAAACTTTAATTCCTATCGCTTTTAGCCATCTACCCGAAAGGATATGGAAACCAATCACAGAGATAAGTCTTTTTTTTTTTAGGATTTGTGTTCTGGAAAGTTGTTGGAGAGTTGTTTAGACAGAATGGAGAAAAATATTCGTGTTACTACTACTAAGTTGGAGAAGATATTTCCATGTGGTTTCTTTGATGTGATGGATCATCTTCCAATTCATCTTGTACAAGAGGCCTGCCTCGGAGGTCCGGTTCAAACAAGATGGATGTATCCATTTGAGAGGTATCCATTTGAAATATTCACTAAGTTATATATATTCGCCAAGTCTTTTATATACTAACATATATATACATATTTACATGCAGAAAAATTGGCAGTTCGAACCAAACGATTAAGCAAAGGGGAAGGATCGAAGGATCATTTGTTCAAGGTCATATTGGGAGAGAAACTGGTGATTTTTATTCTTATTAATTTGGTGATGATGTGTCATGTAGGATAAACAGGCCTAATCGCAATGATGAAGGCGATATTGATCCTTTATTTCCACCGATATCAACTTTAATTAAAATGGTCGAGGATAAAAAAAGCGTGAAAAGTGAGGCTTCACTGATATGGAAATGCAATCAGCTGTGACACATATTTTGCTTAATTGTCCAGAGATTCAACCATATGTCAAGTAAGTGTTAAAAATATGTTATTAAATTACATACTAATAAGTGATCATTAACTAACGAAATACTTGAATGTAAAATGATCAGCTTGTTCGTAAACACATGGGGTAATGAAGCCATCTATACATAATTTTCCAAATGGCTGAGGAACTATAGTAAGTGTGCAATCACTAAGTATTTAATAATATATTCATTTTATACTAAATTATATTACTTGAAATAACAATCACGTAGGTTTACGATGAATACTCAAGTGTCCAACATTTGCAATTAGTGAAAGAAGTAGCACTTGGACCTGAATCTCAAGTACTGACAATGAATAAGTATTGTGTCAATGGTTTTAAGTTTCAAACTGAAGAAGTTTCTAGGAACAAGAAAACAAACAATAGCGATGTCTACATACAAGGTGATGTTGATGGTACTGGTCAAACTATTGAATATTATGGTGTCATTCAAGAGATTATTGAAGTGAGGTATTCAGATTGGCCTAAGAAGAAGATTGTATTGTTTCGGTGTGAGTGGTTTGACCCATCACATAGAGTCACAAAGGTGGACCATCAACATAATATATTTGAAGTTAAGCACACCAGGAAATACAGAAGTTATGATCCTTTTATTATTGCACAAAATGTTAAACAAATGTATTACGCTCCCTATCCATTGCGTAGAGACAAAGCTGATTGGTGGATTATTATAAAAAGTAAGCCTGTGGGAAGAATTGAAATTGACAATGTCTTAGATGTGGCATATCAAAACGATGTTGCAATTGTTCAACAACAAGTTGATGTTGAATTGGAAACCACACTACAACATCCTCAACACATATTAGAAGAAGTATCTGATGATGAGATACTGAATGTTGAGGAAGAAATATATGAGAATGAGGAAAATGAATCATTTGATGACGAAGAATGGGACGATAATGAAAATGAAACAACTGAGGAGGAAGAATGGGAAAATGATGGAATTGAAACAAGCGAGGAGGAATATTGTTGAATGAAAGCTAGCTAGTACATATATGTAAGTGTATTTTGCTAATTTTATTTAATTTATGATTTTTGTATATATTATACATGTTAATTTGCAAATAGATGTCATCAGGCGGTGACGGTGATAGACATCGCGAGCATCTTAGAGTTAGCCAGACTAAACAGGCTAAGAAGAAGAAGTCTAGGAGACTAATAGATCCTGAGGATATTGCAGGATCTATTCCTTTTGCGACAGAGCGCATCAGCCATGATACTCATTTATTTGTTGTTCTGTTTGATACGGCGGATCCTCGAATATATTATCCTAATTACCATCGACAAGTCGGTACTTCATCTACTTCACAGGCATTGCCTTCACGACGCTACGAGGACCTACCTTTACAGGATATTCATCGAGCACGACCCTTATCGGCAGGTACTACATCTCCCACATGTACATCTCCTCAGTTATCTGCCATGAGGCTTATAGATTCTAGTAGTGAGCAGTCAGATGCTATGGCTGATACGCCTCCATTGACTCAGCGTTTTGTGCCTGATGTATCACCCTCGTCTACACCTACACCTAGTGCTACACCAGATGATATGATGCCTGCTCTAGCTCCTGGCCAGAAGGACAGACTTGGTAGAGTCATGATTGAGCTGGATGGATCATCGTAAGTTTGTTTTGTTATCTATTTGTTAGTTTATTTTATTTATTTCTTATACTTTAATATATTATTCATGAACTAACATATTTATTATGTGTTTTGCAGGTGACATCTTGCAAAGGATGCTGCCCGGGCTTTAAAAGACTGTGTTAGAAGGCTCTATACACATGCTTATCACTCTTAGAGCTAGATTCCAAATAGTATACGCCAATGGATGTTTAATAACTTTAGGGTATATATTTTTTAGTTAAGTTTAGTATACTTTACTTTTTTTTTTTACTATTGATCTAATTAACGTTATTCAATTTTTTTTAGACTATGTGTACTTGGGAGTCGAGCTACAATGTGGTCATTGGAACCACATTTGAGAGGAAGGCATCGCCAGACTGTCTAGCTGACTAAAGAAAGTTCGAGATAGTGGTGAATGTCCCGATTGGATGTTGCCTCATGTTTTTGATGAATTGGGTCAGTATTGGAACACATACAAGTTTAAGGCAATATCAGATCAAGGCAAAAAGGCTAGAGGCTGTCTTAAAGGTGGCTCGTTGCACACCGGAGGTGCAAAGACGGTTGGAACAATTGCATGAGAGATGGTAAGTTCTAATTCAAACTTTTAAATAAATAATTAGTTGATTCATATATATATAGTTATAAATTTCAATTTTTATTTATAGGAAAAAGAATTGGGACGCACTCCCATTGAACCAGAGGTTTTCAAGAAGACTCATGTCAGGAAGAAAGAAAATGAGTCGGATCCGGATGTGTGGGTGGAGGAAAGGGCCGAACGAACTTTTGTAAGTTATTTAATATGAATAATATATATTAATAGTCAAAAGCGACGGACTGTGTCGCCTTTTAGAAATAAAAAAAAATTAAAATTAAACTCCGTCGCTTTTGTTAAAAAAAATTCTAAAACCAAAAAATCAAAAAGTGACGCAGTCCGTCGCTTTTTGAAAAGTGTCGAGCTAAAAAGCAACGGAGGTGATGTTGACACCCAATTTTGACCCTCCCCGATAAAATTAGTTTTCGAGCTTCTTAGTTTACAACGAGTTAAAATTATTAACTTTATAAAACTCAAAATAATTTTCAAGTTTTTATAAAATAATCTTGTAAATTTTACAATTTTTAATAGTAACCATGTTTCTACATATTTATATAAATAATTAACATAGTTTATGAATATTCGAAGATCTTCTCAAAAAAAGATTTTTATTTATAGTATTCAATTGAATTAATTAAGTTTAAAGTATATTTACAATTTTAAGTTATTTAGTTTATTTGCTTTATTCTGGTTGACTCGAGAAGCGGGTTTTATTAATTTACTTTACTTTAAGTTATGGCCACAATTTTAAATTAATTAGTTTGTAATTAAGTTAATCGTTTTAGATTAAGAAGCTCATAAATTAATTATATTAATTCATCCTATTTAAATTCTAGCCGAATCTTCTAGAAATTAATTCTTTGATTACATCTTAAATCCATTTTGGCTAAATTACTGATTAATTCTCTATTTAAGATTTTAGCCAAATCCTCCAATATCTTCTATTCCTCTCAAACAAATTTTGGG